CTCCAGTGCAATCTTCAGAGTTTCTTCTGACATCCATTTTGGTCTTTTCTTCCTCTTCTGTCTTTGTAAGAAACTTGCGACTCATAGCGACCCTATATACAACAGCCCTAAACTCTGCTCCGGCCTGTGACAATCGCACTGTCTCTGGCATTCCCATCCTGATTACCCCAGTCACTGAATCAATACACCTCATAGAGGGCCTTCCCCACCTGCGCTGTTCCTCCACCCTACCAAACATAATATCCCTTTCCAAGGACCGGTCTCTCCTTACAACATGTCCAAAGTATGTCAGACAAAGCCTCAGAATCCTTGCCTCCAAGGAGCAGCCCATTTGAATGAGAGAAGGGAAAAACCTACAGGGATTTAGAAGAGTTTAAGCATTGAGGGTCTAATTCAGACTTATTGTCATTGGGTTGGAATCAACTCATAGCTGACCCTCTGGTTGGTTTCTGAGACAGTAAATTGCATGAGAGGAGATCTCCCATATTTCTCCCATGGGGTACCTAGCAGTCTTGGGACTTCTTGAAATGACATGGAGTTTCTGTATTTTGCTTTTCACAGAGCCTACATGACTATAAACATTTATCAAAATTCATAGAAGATATATTTTAAAAATAATTATCTGCTAATGTACACTTAAAATAAATTCTTAAAAAAAAAGGTTGGGTGTGTGGAGATGAAGTAAACTCACTGAAAAGTTTGTAAAAGGAGACAGAGAAATGATGCAGGAAATGGAGGAGACCATGAGGTCACATTTCTGCCTTTCCATATATTGTAGCATAACTGTACATTCCTGAGAATAGTCTAGAATGGAGAAAAATTTAATTGTGAAGCAAAAAAGGCCAGAAGACCAAGGACCCAGTGGACAATGAAGAATCCTTCTTTAGATAGGAGGAGAGACAGTCTATTCATGCTAGAGAGAGGGAGGGTACAATGTATGAATATAGACGTGACTGAGTTGGTGGATAGGGTAATAAGAAGATTAAGAAATATCTACTGGTAACTTTTTTTTTTACTCCTGTGACATGAAGCAAGATTGTAAACTAAGAGTAAAAAGGAAAGCTTGAGGAAGAAATCGTCTTCAAGAGTGGGAGAGCATATAGTACATATGAATGATAAAAACACTAATTTTAAAAGAGTGGGAGAGCACGAGGCTATCACAGCAGTCATGCCTGGCACTGATGATGATTCACGTGAAATTTAAGGATCTGCATTTAAAGTGAGATACATAGGCACTATTGTATGTTTTGTCTAAAGTCATATTTAGTCCTATTTAGATGCTTAGCGACAAGTGTGAAACATGTAGAAAAGAGTGTGATGGAGGAAGAAAGAAGAGGGACATCCAAGAGAGTGTTTTGATGATGTGTGGAGGACAGTGAATGGAGGATGCTGAGTTTTAGGATTTTACAATAGGGGTGGAGTATAAGGAGGAGTTAAGGGAAATAATGTTGATAGTACAAATGGCGAGAAACTGAGCTGCTGCATTTCATCTAAATTATATTTATAATTAAACAAATTAAGAGCAAGGACAGAATAAGTAGTGGATAGTTAGATGAAGAATGAACAACTGAAATGAAAGCTTTCTTTAAAAACTTGACTTTCCAGTATCTTTCTGCCTGACCCCAAATCCCTACTTGAGAAGTAGAGCCCTGAACATCTCCAGGTAGAAACAGAACCCACAGAAATTCACAAAGCTCTGCAAAACATGCCGTTCCTGCGTCGTGAGATCCTATCCTCTGCCCCAAGCTCTCCTACTCACCACAGAGCAGCAGCAGCAGCCTCAGCAGCATGAGGACCAGGTCGGGAACTATAATCAGAGAAGTCCCTTCATCAAACAGAGAATTCACCTTAGAATTTAGAGGTAGCAGCATGTCAGAGGTTTGAGGAAGTCAGAATAGGAAATTACCCTGCAGCACAAGTTACAAAAATAGAAGAAAAGAGATGTTGAACAGCACATATGCAAAGGTATATAGTCTTAGACATATGTTTAGAACACTCCACGTTTTTGGTTGAGAAATGGCCAGTGATCAGTATATTATTTCTCTGTATACTGATTGAGAAAATGTAAAATGTCCCTTCTTATGGTTTCCATAGTTTAGAGATTATTATGATATGTGCTTCCAATGGGTTCCAATTCATAGTGATTCTATGTATCATAGGGGGGGAAAAACCCCAACAAAACACTGCCTATCTGTTACTCTCCTCAAAACCTTTATTTACTGTGTTTGAGTTCATGGTTGAGGCAACTCTCAACTCAGCTTATTGAGAGTATTCCTAATTTTTACTTACCAAATACGATTTCTTTCTCCAGGGAATATGCCCACAATAAATGAAAGGAAAGCTTAGTATCTTCATTTCTAATGAGCATTCTAGAGGTACTTCTTTCAAGACATATTTTCTCATTCTTCAATCACACCGTTGTCATTAAGATATTGAAATATCTTAATTGCTATTCATCAACAGCATAATTCAAAAGCCCAGCTATTAGTTTTCCTTTTTAATATTCCAACTTTCACATGTATATGATTGAAAATACCATTGCTTGAGATGATCACCCTAATTTTCAAGGTTACAGATTAATTTTCTAGTACTTTTTTTATTGGGGTTTGAGTGAAAGTTTACAAATCACATTGGTTTTTCATTCAATCATTTATGCTTTCCAACACTTTAAAGATGTCTTTTGCAACAGAGGTGCACAATGCAATATGAAATTTGGCTTCTTGATTGTACATTGATTATTGAACTAAATAAAAATTAAATACATGACCATGTCAAAGGTTTTTATTAAAATAAAATTTTATTTTTTAATTGAAATTTTAATGAAAGTTTATAGAGACTTTGGATTTCCATTCATTCATTGTTGCACATTTTCTTCCCTGCCCACCCTTCCCCTCCAGTTGGTTTTTCCCTTTAAAAGTAAAAAACAAACAAACAAACAAACAAAAAACCAACCAAACCCCTAACTTTCATTATTATACAAACCCACTCTCAAGTCCACTCCCCCATAAAACTCTCATTCTGGACTCTTGTCATGAAAATAATACCTAATCATATATTCATTTCAAACAGTTCTCTCTCATCTGTTTCAAAGCAGTATACATTATATATCCCCTCTTTTCTTAGATTCCCCTAACCCCGACGTCAGTTCTGTTTTATAACAGCGGCATTATGCAGTGTTTGTACCTTTGAGACAGAGAGAAGACACAAATAATCCGAATAAGAGATGAATCAGGTAACATCACAACAGACCCAACTAAAATAAAAAAGCTAACATTAGAAT